ACACCCAAAGAGCCAATGAGATCAGAAACACTAAACTCTTGTCTCTTGCGCTTTAGAGAAGTGGCAAAGTCCGACCAAGAAGGTGGCAATTTGGCAATAATGCCTCTCGCCACAAACTTGTCCGGCAACTCACAGTTATTGTTCTCAAGTTCCTTAGCCAGCATCTGAATCTCATGAGCTTGTTCCACTACAGAACGGTCATCGACCATCTTGTAGTCAAAGAACTGCTCCATGACATACAGCTCACTGCTGGCGTCGGAAACTCCGAACTTGGCCTCAAGTGCATCCCACATGTCCTTCCCTAAAGGCATGTGCATATACATGTCCACTATATTGTCAGCGAGTACATTGATCAATGCTCCACGGAACAGGCAATCCGAAGCCTCGAACATAACCTCTTCCTTAGGAGAGAGAGGTGGTTCACTTCGTTTACCCCGTGAAACATAGAAACATTGCATCGCTGTCAACCACAGTAGTATCCGTGCTTTCCATCTCTTATAATTAGAACCATCAAAAGCATGTGGTTTCAGTGCAGCGGCAAAGCCAACTACCGAAAATGACCTATCAGGTTTTTGGATTGTTGGAGATATAGTCATATATCAGCATATTTTAATCCAAAATATTAAGACAATAATCATGGCATGAACAATATGAGTTGATCTAGTGATAAAATCAAACATAAACAGGAGCATGCTTCAGATATAATAAGCACCATCATCATACATAGAACGCAATAGCATTGTGACTAACCGAAATAACAAAAACCGAAGTAACAGTAGAGAGTTATACCCTGTGAAAGTCCCTCCGCTGGATTGTGAGGCAGAACTGCCTCCGTTGGTGTTGTCGATCGGTGCACCAGCTCCCGGTGCGCCAGTTCCGGCTCCGGCTCCGGTGCGGCAGACATAGGTGATGCAGTGCAGATGAACGGATGATGACAAGGACAAGTCGTGCGGAAGCACTCCTCAAAAACCTGATCACCCGCCTACCCGATGCAGATCTCAGGCGAAGGTGTGGTTCCGGAGGACCTGCTCGTTCCGATCACTCGTGCGCGCAAATAATCAGAACCGGGGAAGCAGAAGCAGAAGCGGCACAGGCAGCGCGAGGAGGAAGAACCAGTGCTTGGAAAACTAAGCGAGCAGATCTGATCGGGGTCCTCTGTTTCCTAATAGCGCCGGAGAGGAATCCGCCCATTACCACAGTAACGTAACGACGCTATCAATCGCATTGAATCGGATGTCCGTTATAGAGGCAATCTCGCGGGATTGAATTCTGGTCCGTTGCAAAAAGAAGAGAGAGAGAGAGAGGCGACGCACGGGTCCTCTGTTTCCTAATAGCGCCGGAGAGAGAGACGCGACGCACGCCTCGCCCCACGGTTATCAGTAACCTTATAATTTCTGCATTCGGTTCTACCGGGTGTCAACCCTACTGATATATCTACTTCATTTTGTTTTCTTCCTTTTTTTATCATGATTTGGTATTTTGGTGGTCTAGCAATCTGGATTATTATGGAGAGGGAAATCTGCTACATATAATTCTTCCAAACCCGTGACAAATCATTCAACAAGTAAGTGCGTCAACGTTCACACCTACAGAGTAGCGATTTACGTACTGATGCGTAAACTACTCCCTCCCTCTCACTGAATAAGGTACGCACGTACAATTCTTAATTTAAATGTTTGATCAATAATTATTTTATGATAATAAAATTTTTATTCGAGCAAAATAATATTATTAGATTAATATTTAAATTTACTTTCATATGATCATGACTTTGTTGCTAAAAAAATATACTATATGAGAAATTTAAAGCTAAATATTAGCTTTAGAGAATGTGCTAAGTTGACCATGTCTTATTGAGTGGGACAAAGGGAGTAGCGACAAACTCATGAAAATTCAACACGATGTATGTGGAGATTATGGATACCATATACCAATATGAATAGCTTATCTGACTGGAGATAGGAGGTGGGCCAAATTCGTATGTTATGTAAATAGATAAGGCTTTGGACCTTGTATTGCTTAGTGTTCCAAGGCAGTCTGTAGTCTTAGTCCCATACAATTGTCTAATTGTATAAGGAAAATCCATATCATGTCTGACTGGGTTCTCCCTTCTGTAACCTTGCCCCCAAACCTATAAAAGCAGGGCAGGAGATCCTCCAAGGGCATAACCACGCCAATATCGTTAGATCAATACAACACCCGGCGGATACAATCTCTAAAATAGGAGTAAGGAATTATGTCTCATCAAGAGAGCCTGAACCTATCTCGTGTGCTACCCCTTTAATTTCTTATTACCAATTTCTACAATCGACAGTGGCGTGCTAGATAGGGGTTGCTTCGAGTTTTCCGCCAATAAGTGCGATGGGATCAACTTTAGGAGCCGACAACTTCGCCTTCCCACCAGGGCAGGTCTACTATTCTGGCAGCCTCGACTTCGTCATCGACAACTTGGGTAAATTCTCTCTCCTTGACTCTGATCCGAACCAATCGAGGTGAGACCACACCATCTCTGCATCATTCGACCTTCCAAACACCGCCAAGACCTATCCAAGAGTTGTGCCTTCCGAGTCGGTTTCAAACCATTCACGGACATCATCACCGCCGCTCAACCTTCGTGGACTTCCCAACAACACGACAGTTTATCCCAAGATCATCATGTGACTCCCGCCACTCCTCGGTGCGATGTTTGGATCTACATTCGTCACCCCTCCAAGGACTCGGTCCGAGTCCAATCCCGGCAAATCCAAGATGGGATCTAGGGAGGTCGGGGTCATGCTACAACCACTCGAATCCTACAGCTCTACAGAGTCCAATCCTGGCAAATCCAAGATCGGATCTAGGGAGGTCTGGATCATGGTACAACCACTCGAATCCTACAGCTCTACAGACATCGTCAATAGCTACAGTCTTTCTGAAGGCTACAACAACTTCGACACCGAGAGCATCAATAGCTCCGAGTACACCAATGATTATACCCCGCTTTGTCCTTTTACTCATCCACTTTAGATCTCGTGCGCTACTTCTTTTTTATTGAATTCACAATGTAGCTAATCATTCCCCACAAAGTAAAAGCGCTCATTGTTCTTCATTAGCCTGGACAATATTAAAATCGATCGACCTCGTGCTGTGACGACATCAATTTGAAAGAAATGATGACGACATCAAACGAGATCACGAATTAGCGATCGATCGCCTGGGGCGATTTTTTTCCAACCACTTTCTTTTTTTTTTTGGCACCATATAGTTTTTCTTTTTGGGTAAGTTTATATACCTAAAGTTTATATATCTAAAGTTTACACACCTAAAATTTATAAGATAAAAGTTTATATATATACACGATTCAAATTCAAGTTCGGATTTAAACATTTTTAATAGAATATATATTTCTATACAAAATGTTTGTACGTAGGAAGTTTACAGTATATAGTTATAAGTCTATGCGCATGAATATAATTTCAAGGGTATTACAACTTTTTTCTATTTTTTATTTTTTCTAACTTGTTTTTTTTTTAATTTATGGTGTAGTAAGAAGAGAAAAAAGGGGAGTAGCATGCGCGTTAGGGGGCGAGGAGGGACAGGGGGCAATCGCTGTGGATGATCACCCGCCAATTAGCCCTCCCCGGCATCAAATCTCCGTTCGAAAACAGGAGGAGATGGTAATTGGATTGTCGACCTGCCCGTCAAAAAATTTGTAATTTTATGGGTCCACTCATTGTTGAACGACACGCATATAAACAAAACCTACATATATGAGCAGGTCAGGAAGGTTCATATATATATATATATATATATGTGTGTGTGTGTGTGTATATACTCGCTTCCCTAAATGTTTGACGCCGGTGATTTTTTCAAACATGTTTAACCGTTTGTCTTATTCAAAAATTTTTGGGAAATATGTAAAACTATATGTATACATAAAAGTATATTTAACAATAAATCAAATGATAGAAAAAGAATTAATAATTACTTAAATTTTTTAATAAGACGAACGGTCAAATATTTTTTAAAAAATCAACAGCGTCAAAAATTTTAAGATGGAGGGAGTACATAGCTAGCCTGGAAGGTAGTATTAGAAATAACCCCTATGAGATTTGTCCACTTCACTGCGAGTAATCTGTTTACTTTCAGATTTATCCATGTGTAAAAACCTCCTACTCATGATGTCTTGGATATAAAATTTTTACGTTTACACTACGTATAAAGTTGCACTATATCTTTTTTCCCGGATGATCAACCTGCCAATCAAAAAGTTTGTAATTTTCTGGGTCCGTATCTCAATTGGTGAACAACACACACGTAAACAAATTAAACCTACATCAGCAGTTGAGGTATCTTCATTAATAAATTACAAGTTTACAACTACCTAATAGTAAAATTTCCATGTGCTTTTGATCACGTTGCTGTTTGTTGCCCGGATTAATTATAATCGGGTAGATTCAACGTACAGTGACCAGAATTAAATTCTTCAAGTTTCGCGAAGACAACAAAAAATTTCAATTAAACACTGTACGGCCAATGTGATATGCTCGAGGAATGAGACGACAAGATGGAAGAAGATTGTATTCACTGTTGGACAGTTGGACTGTCGACTCTCGACAAGTTGGGCTGTTGGTAGTAAATTAACCGACGGCTGCTACTCCCTCCTCCTGTTATATAATATTTGATATTTTGGATAAGATTAATGTCAAGTTTTTATAACTTTGACCATCAATAACTTTTAAAATATTTTATTTAAAAAAACTAGAACAACGTAAATTAATTTGTCTTTCAAAGCACTATAATAAAAGTAAACATGCATGCATTTATTTATTGTATATAATATAATAGAAAAATAAGATCAAAGATATATTTTTTAGACCGTGTCATTGTTCAAAACATCAATTAAAATAAAACCAGAGGGAGTAATTAACAGTGAAAAACGTGCATGCATGGTTGTTCCTGGATCTCTTCTATCGATGGATCTATAAATAGCTGGCATATCGTCAGTTCAATTCACAATTAACCGGCATATGAAACCATAGTTCATCAATCCTTCCATATATGGCTCAAGGTGGTGCTCATAGAGGAGGCTGTTGCCTACTCCTCTTCCTCGTTCTGCTTGCTCTTTCGTTGCGAACATCCTGTGTTGTTGGACAGCAGAGCCAATTCAAGAAGGTATTCATGGCGATGACCGACTCATTTCACCAAATTTTATACTGGTTTTTTCCAAAAAGGGTATACTGATTTTATTCAAAGGAAACTTTCCTGTAAGTGTTTCACCATATTTATAAAAAACGTAGTAACATTTTTTTTTTAAAAAAGTAATTCATTGAATCCATGTTTTTCGTTGAAGTTTTTTTATTGGTCATTAAGAAGTCATGGGAGACACAGACACTACACAAGAATTAGACAAAAAGCTAGTACTAGCTAGGTGCCTCTCGGTATCTCTTAAGAAATAAATGCTCCGGTATATCATTAAGTCATTATATAGCTATACGACTACGTGTGCCGGGAATAACTATATAAAGAGAGTTGTATGCATGGCTAATTGATGAACTACATTATATTTGAAGATATACATTATCTATCTTGGAGAGAGACGACATGATGATCCTGATATCGTGACTGGTTCCCACCATGACATGCTCGCCTCTGTTTTGGGAAGGTAATTAGAATGCACGCCGTTACTCTGCCCGTTTACAAATACACCCTCGATATATATTTTAATGTATGACGCCGTTAACTTTTTAACCAACGTTTGACCACTCGTCTTATTCAAAAATTTTATGCAAATATAAAAATAATTATGTCATGCTTAAAGAATATTTGATGATAAATCAAGTCACAATAAAATAAATTATAATTACATAAATTTTTTAAATAAAATAAAAGATCAAACGTTTGTAAAAAAGTCAACGGCGTCATACATTAAAATACGGAGGGAGTACTTAGTCATCATTTCTAACTAGTCATACTATACGTAGCAACTAGCAACAGATCTGGACTTGGATCACTTTCTGCTCTCTGAAAGTGGGATGGATCTAAGTACAGAATTATTTATTGCCAAATGCGATATGGAAAGATTTTTTGAATTATAATATATAGTGGTCAATAGTGACAGCAGTTCTGTTTATGATTAAATGGTGTTCCAGTTATATGCAAAAGATTACTGATAGCCAATAATTAATATAGTAAGCGAGCAAACAAACATTATGTAAGAGAAAAATATGTCTGTACGTTATTAAGAAAGGACAAATCAAAATGATGTATTTGATAATATAAAGCTTAAATTTAAAATGTACACAAATGTAACAACTAACAGACAAAGAAGGGAAAACAGCATTGCTTTAATGGAAACATGGACTCTGAAGTAGCGAGAATAAATTAGATTGAAAAGGGCAACTGAGTGGATAATTAATAAATTTATATATATGCGTGTGCGTTTTCGTGTGATAAAAACAATTGGCACACAAATTTTTAACAGGTATATGTGCAGGAGAACTGCATGCTATAATACGTCTATATGTGTTGATACATGAACAAGATGTAAAGTAGGATTTGAGCTACCACTGGTGGAGAAACCCTTATTATAGTTCCGGTTCGTAACCCCCCTGTAGTTCCGGTTGTCTAACCGGGACTACGAATCCGGGACTAAAGATCGTTATCTTTAGTCCCGGGTGAAATAACCGGGACTAAAGATCCGTGTACCATATTTTTTATTTGCATGGCCCTGTTTGCTGCATGGTTGATTATATATATATTACAATACATATATATGTATTGTAATATATATATTATGCATATATATAGAATACATATATATATATATATGTATGTGCGTATGTGTATATGTATAAATACATATATTACACACATATTTATAATTTAAAGCACTTAACATTTTATGTGCATATATGTTACCAAAATATATATTAACACTAAAGTAAATGTACGTACATATATAAATATATATATATATATATACATATATAAATATATAAATATATATATATATATATATATATATGCATGTATAGTACAATTCATTTGCTCGCTAGCTATAGCTACGACTTCGACGCTAGCGTTACGTCAGAAGAGGAAGGACCGACGTTATGAATTGTCGATCCGTCGTAGTAGAATTCACCATCGGGATTAAGGACTTCTTCGTTGATGAACCCCATCAGTTGTTCTTGAACAGCTGTGATAAAATCCTTGTGTGTGAGATTTTCCCTCATGTGAATACGCTATCATTCGAAAAATAATGACATATCAATATATGAAATTAATAAATAACTTAACAAATCGATACGCAATGAAATTTTGAATGGTTTATGTATACGTACATCGAGCTCTCGTGTGGTATATATTTGGTTTGATAGCCAGTGGGCATACTCACGTACGTAGTAGCCGCATAAGTTTGTTCCCTGTTCCTGCTTTGCACACTACATGAGAAACGATGAGAGATTTAATATACTCTTTATATTAACTGTAACTAGAGATTCAATTCAATATAATTTTGAATCATGCATGTACTCACTGGAAAATGAAACCTCCGTCCAAGTTTTTCTTTCCAAGTCCCGCGGACCAATTGACGGAACCGATCTCAAGCCCTACATGTGCAGTTGCAAGCTATGATTAATTAATTATTACCCGAGATCAACATAATAGCAACAGAGTCCCGCGACTTTGGAATAGATGGCATTATATTACCTGTCTATCAGTTGGAAGACCTTGTCAAAAACCTTCTCCTCTTTATTCATTGAGTCATACACAGTGACTCTGTATGCGTCCAAGTCGAAAAACAACAGGACCCAGTGGAATCTGGAATATGCGTGAGATGAGATAAATATTAGAATGTACATGTTATATGTATGGGAATGAAATTTGTTCGAACGACAATAAAAACTCACTCTGTGTTGTATGACAATAGTATGAACGTCTTGAAATGCTGCTGCGTTAGGAGATGGACGAGATTGTCCTCTGTGTCTTTCTCGTACTTGTCGATCATTTTGGTGTTGATTTTCCGAGGGTCGATGAACCCAGTATCGTAAACCCCAGCAATCGGGCCCTTTGAATCTCCATTCTACAACGATAAAATGAAATTATTATTGTTTACATATATGACAGGAGCTAGTTATTGAACGAAACAAATCGAACTCAAAGATACTTACAAAATCCATGCGCTCAAAAAAGAGACGTCGAGGGCATCCAGATGGTACAGATCGAAGACATCCTTTAAATGAATCCATAGAACATCTTCTCCTTGCAAGAAGTCGGGGTTTCTGATCCTCGCTCCAAACATCTCTCTACCCTTGGCGCTCATTTCCATATACCGTTCATGGAATTTGTACATTTGTGTCGGTAGGGACTGCAGCTGCTTAGGCCTGACAAGCGGTTTACCGAGTTCAAACTTGTATGCCACTTCCGCCTTCAGGATTGGTGCGCCTCCAACCAATTGAGCCACCGTTAGATCGGTGTCCGAAATGAAATCCGTTATGCCAAAGTCTTCGCCGGTCACCAATGGCTCGACCACTTGGTTTGGTTGTTTTCCGAGCCGAGGAACTGGTTTGGACTTCTTGTAATAGGCTTTCCTAAGTGTTCGGTCATAGTTTGATAGCTTTAAGGCCTCCTTGTTTGCGGTGGACATTCCGTTGAAGAAATTCTTCACGCTCGGGTCAATAGGTATCTTCTTTTCAGGACTCCGAGGCTTGAGTTGCCTCTTCACTTCTCCTGCCACATAAGCGACAAGCTCCTCTTGACTGAAATCGTACGGCGGCTCCTTGTTTTTGGTGGTGTCAACTTTGGCCTTCTTCGTTGCCCTTGTGCTGGCAGGAGGTGGAGCTTGGCGAGACCTTGTCTTGGGAGGTGCAGGCGGACACGGTGGAGGTGGAGGCGGAGGAGCCGGAGGAGCCGGAGGAGATGGTGCAGGAGTAGGTGGCGGAGGAGCCGGAGGAGATGGTGCAGGAGGACGTGGCGGAGGAACCGGAGGAGATGGTGCAGGAGGAGACGGCGGAGCCGGAGGAGATGGTGCACGAGACGCCGCTTGTCGCCCTGAGAGGATGATGTACCACTTGCGCCATAGTATAATGGTGTGGCTTGTGTCTCGTAGATGCGTCTCACCGTCTTCTCCTGGGTACTCCAACTCGAGGTCCTCGTACACGGCTTCCACCAGCTGAACTTCGACCCTCGAGTATCCTGCTGGAATCGGCCTGCAGTGGTAAGTCCCTGAAATGTCCGTTGGGATGGCCATTCCCGACGCCACCTTCACGTGATGAGAGGTTATCTATTAGTAATCAATCTAAGCAGCAACTTGCGGAACGTACGAGTCAAAAATCATATATTACATCGAGCATACCTTGATTGATAAGTTCTTGAAGGGAATATGCAGCTCACATGGTGTCCGTTGCGTGATCTCATCAACGGGGCAGGTGGTTTCGTCCTGGGTTTGCATGCCGTCCATGCTATGTCATCCTACCTGCCCCGTTGAGGTGCAGCTGCTACGATTGCCTGATGGGCTGACCATTGGAGGAGGTATGTACGGCTGGGAATCGTGTGACCGATGTGCTGCCATGCGTTCATCCACCTTCCGGGCCACCTTCTCTTGCATGCTGAGCTCGTAGCTCGATACCCTGTACTCAAGATCTGCAATCTTGGCCTCGGTATCTCTCTTGCTCCTCATCCGACTCCTGTACGTGTGGATGTCTTCCTTGAATCCAATCTTCCAGGGAATCACGCCTTTTCCTCGTGTTCGTCCTGGATGCTCGGGAGTCTGTAGGGCGAGTGACAGCTCGTCCTTCTCTCTGTCAGGTCGGAACGTGCCCTGAGAAGAGGCTTCCACTGCGTCCGTTAGTCGACTGGCAGCCTCGCGTATCTGATCGCTGAAGACCAGGGAGCCATCAACTGGGTTAAGCGTTCCACCGTGAGCATAGTACCAGAACTTCGATCGATCCGGCCATTTAGCAGTGGCCGGTTCGATACCCCTTTCAATCATTCTTGCCTCCATCTCCTCCCACTTCGGTATTGCGACGCTATAGCCACCTGACCCCAAGTGGTGATGGTACTTCTTCTTGGCAGCGTTTTCCTTGTTTTCGACCATCATCGCTTGCCCTTGTTGCATTGTCTTGTAAGCAACGAACTCGTCCGAATGATACCTTAGCTTTGGGAATACGTCGAAGTTCGGTGTTAGTCCCTTCAGGATGTATTTCTTGTACAGATCTCCCTTGAAGCTCTGGAACTATTCTGCCATGTTCTTAAGAGTCCACTGTTTCACTGTGTTCTCCGTACCCGCAGGGAGCGTGAACGTCTCGAGCATGGTGGTCCACAGCATCTCTTTCTCTGATTTCGGGACAAAGCTGTCATCATCCCCTCACAACCCAACCGCTGTGGCGTACAAAATTCTTGGCTGCTTCTGCCGGGGCACTAGGTCGGCCATCTTCGTCCACCTTAGTTATGATGTGCCGACCCTCTATCTTCTTCGTAGCACGTCGTTGTCCGCGTGCCCTCTTCTGTCCTGCGGAGGGATGACTTCTACTAGCCTCCTCCTCGTTCCCCTCCGCATCCCTCTCCACGTTCCCCTCTTCATTCCCTTCCGCATCCCTCTCCATGTTCCCCTCCTCGTTCAAGTACTGGTTTGGATCCTCGTTCCCCTCTTCTTCGTTCCAGTAC